GTCCCTGTCCCTGCCCTGTCCCCAGGTCTCAGCTACCCCCTGTTCCCCTCCGCCGGCCTGAGCCGCTCCCTGGCCACCAAGACGCCGCCGCTGTTCCTGGGGGCCGAGGGCCGGAGGGGCGAGAGCCAGGGCGGCCCGGCCAGTGGCCGGAGCGGCGCCAGCGCAGCGGTGAGTCGGCTGTCCCCAGGGCCACGCGGTGTCCCCGAGGCCACACGGTGTCCCCAGGGCCACGCAGTGTCCCCGAGGCCACACGGCTGTCCCCAGTGCCACACGGCTGTCCCCAGGGTTACACAGCTGTCCCCAGGGCCACACGGTGTCCCCAAGGCCACAGGGTGTCCCTAAGGCCACAGGTGTCCCCAGGGCCACATGGCTGTCCCCAACATCACCTGGCTGTCCCCATGGCCACACGGCTGTCCCCGGGGTTACACGGTGTCCCCAAAGCCACAGGGTGTCCCCAAGGCCACCCGGCTGTCCCCAGTGCCACATGACTGTCCCCAATGCCACATGGCTGTCCCCATGGCCACACGGTGTCCCCATGGCCACACAGCTGTCCCCAGGGTTACATGGCTGTCCCCAGTGCCACAGGATGTCCCCAAGGCCACCCGGCTGTCCCCAATGCCACATGACTGTCCCCAATGCCACATGGCTGTCCCCGGGGCCACACGGTGTCCCCAAAGCCACAGGGTGTCCCCAAGGCCACCCGGCTGTCCCCAGGGCCACACGGTGTCCCCAGGGCCACAGGGTGTCCCCGAGGCCACACGGTGTCCCCAGGGTTACACGGTGTCCCCAGTGCCACCCGGCTGCCCCCTCCCCAAACCCCACTCCTCCCATCCGCCCCTCCCTCCGGGGCCGGGGGGCTCGGGGCAGGGTGGGGAGGGGTCCCGCGGGGTTCGGGGCACGGCTCCCATTGGGGTCCCCCCGTTTCCCGCAGCGGCCGCTGTACCCCGCGCTCAGCCCGGGCAGCTCCGGCCCCCCGAGCCACGGCCTCGCCGGCTTCCCCTTCCTCGGCCCGGCGCCGGCGGGTGAGTGGCGGTCCCCCGGGCTCGGCACGGCCTCGTCCCCTCCCCTGGTCACCGTCCCCGCTCACCGTGTCCTCCCACCCCGCAGATTTTGGGGCTGGCG